ACACGCTGGTCACAAACCAAGAGGGATCCACAAAGGTGGAGGGTCACATGAGTAGTGTGGACTCATCACCTCAGCGGGTTAAGGCAGGGTAACTGTAGAACCAATTCATCCAACCCCCATTTGCCTATTGCTTCCAATTCCCCTTTGAAACCTAGAGTCAGATTCATTAGTGCAACAGGTAAGAACAATACATCACAGATTCAGGGGCCTGAGGCCAGGGTCCAAGGAAAGAACTCCCAGAGCAAGTATGAGCGTTCGAGGGAACAACCGACAGCAGCTGATGAGTGGCTTCCTTTGGCGACATCCAGGATTTGTGTTGAAAGTAGTAGGGAGGGCAGTGGGTGGCAGAATTGGGCATGAGTGTAGGCCGCATTTCCAAGAGAAATGAGGACAAGATGTCCTAGCACCTGAATCAGAAGCATAACCCATTCGAATCATCTTGGCTTGTACAATCAGTGCTCATTTTATCCCCCTTTCAAAAAGGAAAAAACATAACCCTGCTGAACCGCTCCAATAGGTAGTCCCAGTCCAGGCGAAAATAACTTTTAATCCCATTTCCCCAGGAACTTTTTGAAGCCCTCTTAGTATGTCAGAATGATAGATTCTAGATTTACCAAGGGAATCAACTCCAAAGGGGTAACCTTGCACCCAACTCGGCAACAATGAGGAGTAAGATCAGTCTGGCATGCCCTCAGATGAATTCCAATGACACCCTTTAACCATGAAACAACTGGCTATCAAGCCGTTTAAACAAGATACTGCTGGATTCCCCTAAGGAAGACCTTTGTCAGTTACTAAGATGTTCAAGTCATCACAAACAAAACGTAAGAGACAGGGGGGGGGGGGGGGAAGGAAAGCGGGCAACAGAAACAGTCCCAAACCAGCAGCAGCAGTTTCCTTCCCACCCTAACCTCATCACAGGTTAAGTAAGCCTTAGGGCTTCCTTGCACTTAAAACCTAACTTTAAATATGGCACTCCAAAAGAGGTGTTTGGGATTTAAAATGTTTACACCAGCCTGGATGCAACAACTTTCCACCCGTTTGCTACTATTTGGCATAGTACTGAGACCGTCAAATCCGCCCTGGGGCCCACACTGCCGCCGCCTCCAGCACTGCATCTGGGCACCAGGCCCTGGGTGATCAGTTCAGCTCTGTTAGAGATCAATGAATACTGTGCCGCTTGATCCTCTCATGTCTGCCTTGGAGAAGTGTCGTATGGAAAACCCTTGTGTAGTCCCAGCTGGATTTTCCTGGGCCTGGGAACATGGTTGAATTTGGATCTTCACCCAGTGCTACGTTTCTCTCCCTTAGAAGAAGGGTAATAGGTATGGGGCTTTGAAGCTAACTCAGGATGTGGACACAGCTGGCAGAGATGAGAGGAATGTTGCTGGGACAGCCAAATGAAGCATGACAAAGTGTCATTACAGGAGGTGGGGATTAAGAATGATACATCCAGATTTGTCAGGGAATGGGGCAAAAGGAATTCAATGAAGCAACACTCCATCTCATGCCATCTTCCTAATCAATTGCTCAAGAAAATACCACAGAAGCTCACTCAGTCATTTGCTCCAAACCAAGCTGTATTTCCCAACACACATGAAATCAATTTGCTGAGGTCACCCTCAGATACTGGTTTTCAAACTGGCCTCCACATCCTGCCCCTCACACCAGTCATGCAGGGCTTTCCTTAGGGGCATTCATTTGGTTTCTTCCACTGAATGACTGATCACCAGTTAAGAAGAGGGGCCTTCTATTTCCCAGCAGTGTAACTGCAAACATTGGATGGTGCTTTGCTGAAAAACGGCTTTTTCCGTGGTCATCTGAATGTCCTGCTGAGTTTGGAAGGGTATCAGCCCTACAAGGAAAAATCTGCCTCTTTCTGACTTTGCTCCTGTACAATGATGAAACGAATGCAACATTGAAAGTATAATCAACGCTAATTTTTAATGGCGGGGAAGAAAGTGCCCGATGGTACTAAGGGTACTTGGCTGATAACCAAAAGATTGGAGATTTGAGTCTATAGAAAAGTGCCTCAGAAGACCTGGCAGTCTACTTCTGAAAAAATCAGTCATTGAAAAGCCTATGATGAAGAGTTCCACTATGACAAATGGAGTGGCGTGAGTTGGAATCTACTCAGCCGCATCTGGTCTTTTTTTAAATGGCAGGTGTATGTGTGCACGCTAACAGCTTTTTTAAAAGCCACCCACTAGATAGTATATCTGGGGTGGCACTGTGGGTTAATGTGCTAGACTGCAAAGTCGGTTTGAACTGCAAGGTTGGTGGTTCAAGCTCACCAGTTGCTCCTTGGGAACCCTCTACAGGGTCGCTGTGAGTCGGAACCGACTCAACAGCACTTAACAGCAACAAATGTAGTATACCTAATGCATGGAATGAAGGATCCCTGGTGGCGCAGTGGTTAAACAACCCTTTGCTAACCAAAAGTTCTGTGATTCAAACCCACCAACAGCTCTGTGTGAAGTAAGATGTGTAAGTTTGCTTCCACAAAGATTACAGCCCCGGGGACCCTACTCTGTCCATAGGGTCCCTAAGAGTTAGAATCGACAGCAATGGATATGATATTACTGAATGGAATACCTTCTTGTAGACTGAGGAGGAATCCAGTTCCTTCAAAGCCCCTGCTTATACACCTTTTCTCACACACACTTCTGACCTGAAACGGAAAGAAAGAACCTTGCCCATCAGGAAGCAGCCTGCGTTTCCCTCCTTCAACCTCTGGCCAGTCCAGAAGTGGGAGAACTAGGGGCTGCAGACTGGCTAGATGACAAGGAGTCTCTTTAGGACCTCAGTTTGGTGCCCTGATTCTAGAGTTGAGCCCACAGAGCCTGCTGGGGCCCGCAGACTCTCGCAAATGGTGGACATCAAGTCTGATTCAGCTAGAACAAAGCGAGGAACCTGGCCTGAGACGCCCTCTCGACTTCCCAGCAGTACTGGTAACCTAACCTTGTGGCTGATCTTAAACATTTCCCTTCAAGAAGGGTGGGACAACTGGTTAGGATTTTTTCTTTTTTTAAAAATTCAAATTCCAAGTACATTCTCTATGTCAATTTCAGAAAAACGACTGCAGAAACTTCTTAAAGTAATCATCTTTGCAAAGATGGGAGCCTCAAGTTGTAAGGATAAAAGAACTTACAATGGGCAGTTCCTGCTCAGGCTGAGAAACATACACCCCAGGGGAGGGAGGAGAGAACACTCAATACTGAAGAGACAAAATTCTCATTACCTCATTAGTATAAACATTTCTGTAAGATTTTATTTAAAAGATTCCCTTTTCAATCTGTCCCCAAGTGTCAGAAGTGGAACAGTGTTAAGTTCCTGCCACGCAGTACAGTATTTTGAGGAGCTATTTTTTAAAATAAAAGGAAAAAATAACGAGGAAAAAGAGAACCCTCTACTGAGACCAGGTTAAGACCAGAGTCAGCTCCTCAGGCCCTTTTGTGGCAGTTTGGCCAGAGCTGGCCTTATGGAACGATTGCTTAAGGAGTCTGGGGTACCAGGCACTCCCTCTTGTGAGGCAAAGGCTAAGAAAATGAACCTCCTCGTTAGTGAAGACGGAGGTCAGATCCAGATTCAAAAGCCACCTTCATTCTGGTGTTCCCTGGTACTCTTCTTACTATTGAAGGCAGCTCCCTCTTATATGGCCAGTTTTAGCAGACAAAGAAACAGTGGACTATCAATACATATATGTGTATATATATATTTTATATAGGTAAAATATATACATATGTTATATATGTATATATGCATATTTGGGGAGGGGGAGGGGAGGAGGCTCATGTAAACTTCAACAGTCATCACATTACCCCGTGTGAGTCTGACATCAACAAAACAGGTAATAAATAACTCCTGGGGCTTCGGTGTGACGACACGGTGCAGCAACAGGGAAAGGGCACACGCTCAACTAGTCAATCCGCTTTTCCATTTGTTTGGCAGAGCTCAGGCCAGCCCCAGGCTTCTGCACTTGCCAGACAAGTAAGCTGATGATACTCAAAAAAAAATTTTTTTTAATTTCAAGCAGAGCTCCATACCACAGTTTTTGTTTTTTGATTTTAAATTCAGCTGGCCGGCAGGCGTAGTTTTCCAACCACCAGGAACAGAAACTTTGGCTCCAAGGCAAACGAACAAAAAAAGGAAAAAAGTATTTTCACTTACAACATGAAAATACAGGAACTTCATCAAAGAAAGAAAAATTAACAAAAGACGTCTCCGTCCAGCAAAACTGAGGTAGCGCTGCTTTCTCTGCATTCAATACGTAAGTGGTTCTCAGTACAAGGTGTGGAAACACACAACTGCTCACTTGGCTGGCAGGGCAGCATGGTGACGGGAAACTCAACATGAAATGCAATCGGTCAGAGAAGGAATGAGCAAGAAGTGAGGGAAACAAGGGTTTTAGATAAATGAGCTGAAATGGGGGTTGTCAGCAGACTACAAAAGCTCTCAGCTGGCCTGGGCTCCCCCACAAGAGCTTACAATTGTCTGGGAATTAATGCAACGTGGTTAACACTGCTATTCAACTCTGGTAAACCTTTCAAAATAATTATTACAACCAAAATTCAACCATGTAAACAGCACTACACAAAGTACAGACCTGCCCTGAAAAACCAAAGATGCCAAACTGAGACCTGGCATTGCACCCCCTGGTTGTGGGAACGCAGCCCCGCCCTGCTCCACACCCTCCCCCACCCAACAAACACATGTCTAATTTGTGCAAGAAATGGCAGGCTTCAAAAAAAGATACACAACATGTAGCCAGCTTCAGATCTTTTGGGGGACCCCCACTGAAAGAAACAGCCAAAATAACCGAAAAATGAAGAAAGTGCCTAAAACATGATACAGCATTTTAGAGCCCTTTCAAATACAAGGCAGAGAAAGGTGTAAAGTAGAAAATATCCGGATCTTCAGTTACTTCCAGAAAGGTCCACTTCCTTGGTGGGCTGCAGGGCAGCGGGCAGATCCTTACAACCGCTTGTGGCGCAGAGCCGCTAAGTCTGCTCCTCCGGGCACAAGCCCTCGGGCCCTGAGCTGAGCAGGCTGCTCCCTTCTCCTTCTTCTCTTTTCCGACGCTCCGTTTCCCACTCCACAAAGGTGTCAAAGAGACTTGGCCAGGCCTCATCTTCACTGTAGTTGCTGAGGTCAGGACCAATCACCTGAGTGAAGTTAAGGAACATGTTCCAAGTATCCCGGGAAATGCCCTTGATCCCCGAAGGGTTCTCTGTTAGGAAGTGTAACCATTGGTCCAATACGGGAGGATTGTTCTGGGTAAAGACTAGTTTCCACAGGGCAATGGCTATTTCCCGATGCAGCGACCGCTGCCCCTCTTCAGAATCCAGGCCAAACTGAAACGTAAACCGGTAGAGATCCTTGAATTTCTCCTCTTGTTTGGCTTCTATTAAGAGGCTGGGGAACCGTGCACAGATCCCATCAATGCTGTCAGCACTTATTGCTTTGCAGCCATCAAAAAACTCTTTCCTGCAACAGGAAGGAAGAGGGCACAATGAGTACACATGGCAAACACCATCACTCCCTGTGAGGCAACAGTATAGTAATTAAGAGCACGGGTTTGGGGCAGATCCGCCTCAATTTGAATTCCAACTCCAGCACTAATTAGTCCTGTTTCCTCATCTGTCATCTGGTGAGAATAAGAGTTCCTCGGGTTTGGGTAAGGACTCAACAAGTTAATATAATACGCTAAGTGCCTCTAGCTGTGCCTGGTCCGTGGGCCCGCAGTAGGCAGATGGCAAACAATAGTTCATTCATCCTCCCAGAATTGGGACTACAAAGTCTCTTACTCGTGTCCTGCTCCCGTTCTGCAGCAGAGATTAAGCGGCTGACTCTTTCTCCCCCAGGACACCAGTCTTCCTGCTTCCCTTTGGTTCTTCATGGTTGTTTGTCTGGGGTGTAATTTTGGAATTATTACAGCCAGAGAGCTTTGGAACTAAAGAGTCAGGACTAAAGAACAGGTGCTAGAGAACTCTATCGCCAGTTAAAATTCTATTTAAAAAAAAAGATCGTAGCTGTATTTTTAAATTGGTGTAACACTTTCCAGCTTACCAAGTGTCTCACGCTGAGCACCTTCTCAGGGCATGCTGGATCTGCTGAGACCTTGAAGGCACTCTCTCTACTCAGGGGCACATGAACTGGTTAGTGTACAGCTGGATCTCTAAGTCAGTTCTTCTCAGACATAAGCCAGTGCTCTGCAAACCACCTCGACAGGGACAACGGAGACAGTGCCCCACCACTCCTTGATCAGTGCAGTTGCTGTCCTTACTGACACAAAGGCCTGGCTCAGGGCTAAGACCTAGAAGATGCAACAAGGCATCTGGAATTGTGCAGAGACGCGGGTGTATCCCAAGGCACTGACTCCAGTGTTTGCTCTTCAGTCCCTCCTGGTACATGAGACCCAAACCCATATTGTGGGGTCCATTTCAACTCCAAGCAATCCTACAGCACAAAGCCCAGCTGCTTGCTCCAGAGTGTTCCCAAGGCTGTTATCTTGATGGGGAGTGTGGTAGCTCTGCATGACACACAACTGGACTCTGAACTACAAGGGTGGCAATTCCAGCCCACCAGCTGCTCCGGGGGAGAAAGACAAGGCTTTCTGCTCCCATGAAGATGTATAGCCTAAGAAACTCTATCCAGGGTCACTATGAGTCAGAACCGACTCGATGGCATTTAATCACCATCACCACCACCACCTTTACTGGAGCAGACTGCCTCATTTATCTCCTGTGGAACAGCTGGTGGCCTTGAGGCGCAGACCTGTCCATTTGCAGCTGAGTGCTTAATCACTGCTACCAGAGCTTCTTGGCACATGACAGGTGTACAATAGATAGGGAGGAAGTGAATGAGCAAACTAGGAAGCAAAGGCATTGCAGTGTTCAGTCTGAACCTGCAGTGGGGTAGGACGGCAGCTCAGCATGGGGCCCGCCCTGGACAATGGCTCACTGAGCTTCAGGTAGAAGTAGGCCAGGCCAGGCCCGTTTACTCAGTGGTGGCCTGGCAATGCTGTGATAGGCCTGAAATCTGATCCACAAATTAGGCCAAGGCTCATTCTATGACAAGAAATCTGGGGAACACAGGAAAACCAGATAAGAACCTTTGACAAAATACAAATGCTTGGGTGTTTGCCTCAAGATTCCTCCTCTTCAGTAGGTCAGCTGTAGAGCCAGGCAGACAGTTGTAAAATTCTTACAAGAGTCTCAGGATAAGAACCACGACTTAGCTCAAAAATGCAAGCTTTAAAGAAGGTGGTCAGAAAAAGAAAACAGACTTGCCTAAACCCCTATGAATCTAACCCAGTTTAACCCTCAGTGTGCGCTACTGCCCCATGGTGTTCCATGGTGTTCTCTTTCCTCCTTGGCTAACCTGGTGACAAGAACTATGTAGGACTAACCTGGTTCAAGCTCACCAGCTGCTCCTCAGAAACCCTATAGTGTCACTATGGGCTGGAACTGACTCGACGGCACTTAACAACAACAACAACAACAAACCTGGTGACGTGAGTTATGTGGGACTGACCTGGTGAATTTGCACATGGTAGCAGCCTGGAACTTCCAAGCCAAGAGCAGCACTCAAAATTCCGTGGGGTCGACACACAGTTCATTGCAAAAGCGCTCCATGCCTTCCTCCAAAATTGCATCCTCCCACTCGTCCTTGTAGCACCTAAAGAGTTCTTCCAACCTCTGCAAGGAAGACTCCTCAGCATTGGACTTGGACTCCCTCCCTGCATCTCCCGAGGATGTTGGCAGCTGGAAGGCTTCAGTCGCAGCCTCTGCCTTTTTGGTCCCATTGACGAGGATATCGCCACCTGGCTTGCCACAGGCTGGCACCTGTTCCTCACGGTGGCATGTGCCCCGCCTACTGTGTGACTTGCCACTGGGGTCACGGTCTCCATTCTTGCTGCCCAAGGTTGATGAGGGATTCTTGCACTTGGTGACACACTGGCCCATGGTGCTGGTGGCCCGGCCTCTAGAGTGGTCCCCTCGGGATCAGATGCCCTTGCTGCCGCTGGCCCATGTGCCTCAACATGCCATCAGCAAGAGGAGCCAGCCAACCTGGAGGGGAAGCAGAGAGCAGTCACCTCTGAACAAGGGAGACAAGGTACGGATGCTAGCCACCTGGGACTGCCCACTGGCGCACCAGGCCTCTTCCGCAGCCCTGGGGGGTCAGAATTCCCAAAGTCTCTTTTTCCGTAAGAAGAATGTGGAGCCTAGGGACGGGAGCTGAATTCACCCACAGATCAGAGATCCCACTTAGAAGTCACAGTACACTGGGGGTCAAGGATGAACAAACTGCTGTAGTAGCTCTGACTGGTCAGAGTTCACTCTTATCTCTGAAAACCCTGAGCGGTGTCAAGGCCATTCCCTTGGTGGACATACTGTGGGGCAAATCCAGCTGCAGGTAGAAATAGTGAGAGTAACACCAAATGGAACACTCCTCGGCAGCAGCTGCTAGTGAAAACCAGGGTACTCATTCACTAGCCATCTGCATTAGACCTGGTCTATTCTTTAAGGACCTCTGGTAGCACAGTGGTTACGAATCAAGATGCGAACCGCAAGGTCAGCAGTTCGAAAAACTATCAGCTGCTCCGTAGGAGAAAGATGAGGCTTTCTGCTCCCATAAAGATTTGCAGCCTTGGAAATGCTGTTTAGGGTCGCTATGGATCGGAACAGACTCACCGGCACTTAACAACAACAATTCTTTAGGGGGAGTCCTGGTGTGGCGCTGTGGACTAATGTGTCAGACTGCAAAGTCGTGTGAAATGCAAGGTTGGTGGTTCAAGCTCACCAGCTGCTCCTTGGAACCTCTATCTATACAGGGTTGCTATGGGTCAGAATTGACTCCGTGGCACTTAACTACCGCTACTCTTTAAGGAGCTCTGGTAGCGTAGTGGTTATGAATCGGGCTGCGAACCTCATGGTCAGCAGCCGATGCTCAAGGCATCTGCCCCAGAGTCTCAAGCACATACCTGAGGGGACATAGCCAGGAATGGGCCAGCAGGCAGATTCTCAGGCAAAGTTTCCCTGGCAGGGCAGGCCACAGTGTTACCTGAGGCTGAGGTTGATAAATTCAGCTTCTACTGGGGCTTATGACCCCGTACCCGACTTGGAGCCCAGGGTTGACCCTTTCAACCAGGATATAAGGCATATCACAAGCTTTAGAAGTGTACCTGTCCAGGTTGTTACCAGAGCAACACAGCATAGTCCTCTGAACACCTTAGGACCTCGCACCAGAAGTGAAACCATCTACTGGCGGCGTTTGGCATGGGTCACCCCACCAAGGAGGACTGGCGCTTTGTCCCTCTGGACCCAGAGGAACTGACTGACCTCACATGGCAACCCACCGCCCTACTCCACAAGGGCCTCCAGAGTCATGCCTCACCTGTACTAGGATGACAGTGACAGTGTGGCAAAGAAGTGACACCCAACCAGATGACTCTACTTACAGCCACCCCTCCCTGGGCAGCCTGTGTGACACCCTCAGCCAGGGACAATGCCTACTGTAGCCACTGTGTTACTGCTAATGCTGTCCAGTCAGTTCCGACTCACAGAGAGGGTCAGCAGTCCAGTGCCACACAGGACCTACTAAGACACCTATCTATCCAACCTTAAGTATGTTTCCTTCAGGGCTGCCATGTTCCGCCTCCATGCAGTCCGCCCACAAACGCTGTCTGTGGACAGCTCCCCTGCTCAGGGGCTGCAGGCGGCCTTGGAGGGTGGCGTCTCAGCTCTGACCTGATGACGTTGCTGTGGGAGACATATCCACCACTCAGTGGAAGCAAACAGGAGCGAGGGCTGTTGACCACTTCTGAGATGGTACTGGAAAAGGGTGCACTGGGAAACTCCTCTCTGTAGGTATTGAGCAAGTAAAACTCCATGGGTTCCCCTGGCCCCTCCAAGGCCCTGGAAAATGGACTGGACTCTCCTGTATCTTACAGTCAATGGGCAATAGCACCAAAGCCACTGCCTGAGCGCAGTATAAATAGCCCCACCGTGGCACTGTGGGTTACAGCGCCAGACTGCAAAGCCATCTGAACTGCAAGGTCGGCGGTTCAAGCTCACCAGCTGCTCCTCAGAAATCCTATACAGGGTTGCTATGGGTCGGAACTGACTTGACAGCACTTAACAACAACAACAACCTGACAACATGAGCTTTACCTTGCTCCTAATGGCAGCCACTGGATGTGTGGGGCTCCAAGTACTGTGTAACTGGATAGGGCACTCTACCTTACGGTGGCCCGATGCTGCCAGAACTGTTAGGGAGTCCATACCCAAACCTGGGAATTACCCTGTGGTAGCGTAGTGGTTACGCTCTGGTAGCATAGTGGTTACGAATCGGGCTGTGAACCTTAAGGTCAGCGGTTCGAAACTACCAGCCGCTCTGCGGGAGAAAGATGAGGCTTTCTACTCCCGTAAGGATTTACACCCTCGGAAACCCTGTACAGGGTCGCTATGGGTCGGAACCGACTCGACGGCACTTAACAACAACAAATAATAGTCAGGTGGACCACGCAGAGTTTCTCCACTGACTACCTCTGAACTACTTTGGCTCCCTTCCTTGGCTTCATGGAAACCATGACCGATTTTGGAGTATTAACTGCAGAAGCCAACAAAGGAAGACAGTCACCCTACAGAGCTGGGTGGCTCTGGACATTGTGACAGACACTCCAGGTGAGACATGTGAAAAGCACCATGAAGAAGCAGACTGGGGCCCTGGACACATCCGGTTGGCTGGTCTTCTGTGGTCACCTGGCTTTGCCTATCCCCCTCCCACTGGTGAGGCTTCGTGCTGGGCACTGGCCTTTGCCTGGTTAGAGGGCAGCGGTGTTCAGTTGCCTATGATGCTACACTGGCCTGGGTCTCTGGGGGCAGCAGCGCTGCCATCATCACCCACAGAGTTCCAACAGCTCCCCTCAGGGGTCTCAGGATCTTGTGGGAGAGCCGGCCTTGAAGGGTAGACTGCCGGGGGATGGGAACAGGCTTTTGTAAGGCCGGATATGGTTACGCTCTGGCTTGCTAAGTCATTTTTAAGAAACACCTGCTGATGGCCTTGGGGGTCCGGGGCCCTAGCACCATGCTACCTTTGTTCACTCATGTTATTACAACCTCTGCCTCCACCTGGGGGTGCAGAGACTCAAGTCTGGCCTACCGCACTCAGCGCTTCCCCCTTTCAGTAAGTAATCCCTTAAACAAACTCCATATATACATGATCAGGGCGAAGTTTCCAGCCTCCATCTTCAGTCTACAGGCACCTTAGGGGGAATTTCCAGTCACTTGTCTGTGCCCAGATGAGGGCCAAGACTATAATCAGGGCCCCAGACAAACAGCAGAGCAGATGGCACCTTTTGAGTTCTCCACATTTCCTCCCCACCTCGGAGAAGCCATTCACCAAGTCTGAAGGATCAGCACCGGACTGCTAACCACAAGGTTAGCAGTTCAAACCCACCAGCCGCTCCTCAGAAATCCTATACAGGGTTGCGATGAATCAGAACCAACTCGACAGTACTAAAGAACAACATACTCTAAGCCAAGTATCCCAGTCTCCAAGCTTCTCTCCCTCTCTACCTCAGGGCCTCTGTGAGGCCAAACACAGAAGACAAGGCAGGCTCACACTACATGTGAATCAACTATAGGAACTATAGGTTCAGGCCTCCCAGGACGTATCTCTACTTTAAAAGGGGCTGAGGTGTCTAGACTGCATCTCTAAATGGTAGGATATTTGCTAGAGGAGAAAGCAAAGTCCATGCTGATACGTAACAAACTCGTCATGGTACTTTATTAATGTATTACGTATGTATATAACCAGAGTGTTTTTGAAAGAATTGCTAGACATTACTGAGCTGGAAGTGAAATGGTTTCTCTCAGACTGTCTACTTGAAGTCTTAGTGTTTCTCCCCTCAACCAGTCTGCTAGGAGATGCATTTACAGTTCAGTACTGGAAAGCTATTGCCAGCTGCTATAATAATTGTGTGGGGTGCTGGTAGTGGCTCCATGGTAGCATGCTTGCCTTCCATGCAGGGCATCCAGGTTTGAATCCTGGCCAATGCACCTGATGTGTAGCTACCACCCTTCAGTAAGTGGAGGCTTGTGTGTTGTTGTGCTGCTAAACAAGTTTTACCAGAGCTTCCAGACTGCTGTTGTTAAGTGCCATCAAGTTGGATCTGACCCATAGCGACCCTATACAGGGTTTCCGAGGAGCGACTGGTGAGCTTGAACTGCTGACCTTGCAGTTCAAACAGCACCACACCAGGACTCTAAGACAGGTTAAAAAGAAAGGTCTGGCAATCTAAAAAAGCCCAAAAGTCAGTCAATGAAAACCCTCTGGATCACTAGGGCTGGACTGCAACAGAGGAACACAGAGATGGCTACAAGAACAGGGAAGTGCTCTGGCTCGTCCGTCGTCATGCCTGGACTCACCAAGAGTCGGAGGATCAGTTCACTGCCTGGGCTCTCCCCATCAGTTCATGGCAGTTCCCAACAGCACCACTGTGTAACAGACAGTCAAGAGCCAGGAGAACTGTGCAAGGGAACGCCTGACTCTAGGGCGCTTTCATGGACGAAGGTAAGCCAGATTAGAAGTTCATAGGGGACTGGTGGGAAGTGCGGTGGCTCTGTAGGATAAGCATAGGACTTCAAACACAAGGTTGGAGGTTTGAGCCCACTAGCTTCTCTATGGGTAACAGATGAAGCTTTATGCTCTGGGAAAGAATGATAGCCTAACAGAAACCCTATACAAGGTGGCTGTGAGTCAGAACTGACTTCACGGCACTGAACAACAACAGGCTGGCGGTGGGTTAGGGGAGTGATTTTTATGGAATGTCGGAGCTTTAAGCTAGATCTGAATAAATGTGGGGGTATCTTCAAAACAAATATTCTCTAAGAGTAAGTAAGCTCTGAGTGCACAAGGTAAAGATCAAGATCAAAACCATCCCTGCAGCTCCTGGTGACTT